CGCACCCATTGTCACTATTGTTCCCCTCCCGGGATCTGCAGGTCGGGACCTGCAGGTCGCCTCAGGTGGAAAACCAGCACAGCAGTTGGTTGTCTACACTGAGATCTGCCCCTAGGTGCTCCCAGGCAGGAGCGTGGGCCCAGCAAAGGGTGCTTTTGAACTCCTGGGGACACCTTTCCTGTGGTGAGGCTCAGGGGTGGCTCCTGGAGCCCCTGCCTGGGAAGAGAGCGACAGGAGGCTGCTTTGGCTGCCATCCTCTGGGTGAGGGAGGCTAGCTGGAGGAGGGGGTACCCTGGGCCTCTGACCCAGCCCTCAGGCTGTGGACATGGCAGTGTGCCTTCCTGACCAGAGCAGGAAGCGCTGGGCTATGGAACTTTGACCTCACAGTCTGTGATCAGTCTCCTAGGGCTGACTCAGATGTGACATAAACCCTGGTAGCTTAGTGACTGATGTGTCCATGCTGTACCTGATGCTGTTGGGGGCGAGCCGAGGCCTGGCATCTGGGCTGAGGTTACTCGTGTCCAGAAGGCAAGTGAGACATCAGCTTTTCCACGTGGGTGTGTCAGGCCCCTTTACCCTGCCCTTGTCCCTTGGCAGGCACCTGGGCAATCCTATGTTAAACAGCATCTCTCATCAGCCACTGCTGAACACCTCACCTCACATCTGCAAAGCAAGGCCAACTCCAGGGCTGGTCGGTGGCCACAGTAGGAGCCAGCTACAGCCTGGACTGCCTTAATCTCTGCCGCCAGCATCTTTTCACGATGAGAGCAGCTAAGCCTTGGTGGGATATAGGACATCCCAGCCCAGATAATCCCAGTCCTTCCCAGTGGACCTGGGGCATTGACACCCATGAGTTGGCTCACTAAATTGAACCTTCTGTCACTTGTGGGAAAGACCCAGTGTACCTGGGCGTGGTGGCTCTCGCTTGTAATCCCAGCACTTTGGGAGACTGAGGCAGGAGGATCACTTAAGATCAGCCTGGGCAGCATAGTAAGATCCCATCTCTAAAGAAAAAAAAAGAGAGATCCAGTGAGACCCTGACCTGGGCCCATCCCGTTCCTGGGGGGCTGGCTGGGAGTGCAGTGAGGGGGTTTCTTCATGGGCTTGGCAGGTTAGTCGCTGCCCTGCCCCCCATACCTTCCCAGCAGTGGTGTTCCACATGTGCCTGTGATGCCTTGCTGTGATGGGAGCTGGCGTGTGCCCACCCAGGCTATTTTTACTCAGCCTGGTCCCCACAGAGCCATTCTCTGGCTCTGAGTGATTGCCTGGGAGTGTAGCCGCTGCCAGGGCTGGGGGTGGGCGAGCCAGATCTGCGGAGTTTCCTGGACTCCCTCCCCCAGGCAGCTCTCATTCTTATACTTAGCAAAGGTATAACTGATGGGCAGGAGGACCCTCTGCCCGAGTGGGTGGAGAGGACCCTGGCGGTGGGAGAGAGGTGCCAGTGTGCTAAGGGCGGGCTCTGGAACTTGCCGGTGCCTGGCTTTCTGAGGCTAAACCCAACCGACCTCCAGCCTGGGGTGCCGCAGGGGAAGAGGGAGAGGGCCCAGGGCTGGATAGAGGCCAGGAGGCCCCCCAGCTGTTTTTCCTCAACAAGATGACAGTAATGATCAATGCTTTCTGTGTGTGCTAGGACTGTAAAATGCTTAGAAAATGTACTGATTTTGGAATTCCAGTCATAGTTAGCTCTCCATTTTAGAGACAGGAAAACTGAGGTGCTGAGAGGGTCAGTAAACCTAAGGCTGCAGAGTTCATGAGTGGTGGAGGGGGCTCAGACCCAGGCCTCTCGAGAGCTCCTCCCTGATCCCCTCCCCGCTTCTTGCCACGTCCTCAGCATCCTAGAGGTGCGAGGCATTGTCCTGGATCCTTATGTCAGTCCTGCAGGTGAATGCATCATGCCTGCTTTAGGATGAAGCTCAGAAATGACCCAGCATATCCAGTGTGTCACAGCCATACAGGGACCACACAGAGCTGGTGTCGAGCCCCGCGGCTGGGCTGTTTCTCACTCAACCGCCACAGTTCAGCTTGGTTCAACCAGTACTCGTTGATCACCCGCCATGGGCTCCCCGAGATGCTCACCACTTGGGCTCAGACATGGAAAGCCCCATGGCTCCCCACCTGGGTTCCTCCCTCTCACAGGGAATGTGGAAATGTGGTCATTCAGGGCCTTGTGTCCTCTGTATGGTAGCTGCAGGAAAATGCAGGGTGTGGGTGCGTGTGCCTGTGGGATGGCTCCCCATGCTTGGAGGAGGCGGGCAAGGGAAAAGACTAGATGCAGGCGTCACATTGGGGACCTGCCATGCACCCTCTAAGAGCTTGGACAGTACGCCATTGTGGGCTTCCCTGAGGCTGGGACGGCCCCCACGTGTGTCGCTGCTTGGCCTTTCCAGCAGCCCTGAATTCAGCCCTCACCAACGTCCTACAGAGGATGGGGTGACTTGGGGCCTGCTGGCAGGCGAGCCAGCTTTTGAGGCTGGAGAGGGGCCCGTGGCAGGCTGTGCACCTGGAGACCCCACCTCTAGCTGGGGCCAGCTCTATCCAGCCCCAGCTGGAGACGGAGTGGGAAAAGCAGAGGCTGGGGATTGTCATGAGGGACGCTGGCCATGTAGACATGTCCTACCCTGCCCGCACAGCTGACTGGGTCCTGTTTCCCAGCATTGGGTCTCAGAACTCTGTCCAGAAACCTCTGGCCTCGGGTGACTCCCCAGACCTGGCTCCTCCAAGGAGGGAAGGCATCCCTCCTAGGAGGCTGCCTGTCTGTCCAGGACCTCGCTGGCTGACTAGCTGGGGACCCACAGCTTTAGGGGACAGCTCAGCCTCTGATGCACGCAGCCCCTGTCCAGCCCAGTCAGGATTTAAGGCTCCCACAGCAGCTGACTCTTTGGAACCGGTCTAAATTGTGTGACCCTTAGAGCAGCCTCTGAGGTAGAGGTGACTGTACCCCTTCTGCAGCCTCAGAGAGGCGATCGTTGCCCAAGGTCACACAGCTTGTGAGTGGCTGGGCTAGCAGGGACTGAAACACTGCTGGGTAAGGAGGCACAGCGGGCTCCAGAGCTGTGCCTTGCCCAGTCCCACCCACAGGGGTCTCCTGGGCTTGTGGAGGGACATTTACATCTACTCTGTCTCCTCACCCCAGGATCTCTCGGTGGGTGGAACGAGGTGAGCCTAGGATGGTGTTGGCATGTTCCATCCAAGCCTGTATGGCTCACGGTGGCTGGCCCTGTGCCCCAGTGGGATGGGTCTCTTTGTGCTCAGGCCAGGCTCTGGGTCCCGAGGGACAGAGCCCAGGGGAGTCAGATTGTATCACAGACAATGCCTGGTGCTGAGGACACTGCCCTGTCCCTTCCCTAATGGTCCCCCAAAGACCAGACACAGCCTTTCTGTGCAAGCCCTGAGAAGGTGGCCAGGTTCAGCCCCAGGCCTGGACGTGTCGCCGATACTAGGGTCATTGGATAGTCAAACATGGGCATCTTTTTCACACACCAGGGAATAGACGGTTGGGAGCTCTGGGGAGTGGAGCCTTGGGAGCTGCCCTGGGCACAGACTGGGCATCCCCTCTCACCTGGAGGAGGAGGGAACTGCCATGGTGTGGCAGGGGCGTGGAGAGCAGAGGCGGGCAGCTCTCAGTCCTGCCGACAAGCATGAGGGTCATGCTGTGGGTGATGCATGCTGTCTCCCGCCCTGGGCTTCTAGGAAGTGTAAGCAACAGGGGGCTCTGTGTGGCCCTGACCGGCAGGCAGCCTGGTCAAAGCATTACTTGTCTCCTGGACACCCTGTGAGGACGATGTCTTTGTTATGGGCAAGCTCTCCTCTCCCTTTTCCTCGGTAACTTCATCTAAAAAACATAAGAGATGGAACTGGCTCAGAAGGCTTCTAATTTGATTCTCAACTCTCCCAGCTGGGGGGTGGTGACTCAAGGAGGGGACTAGAGACAGCCTCCAGGCCTAGAAGGAAAGGAACTGGTAGCTCCACCCAGACTATTCCCCGGAGAGCCCAGGGTGTGAGAGCAAGGGCCACGGCCCCCAAGGAGGAACAGGGGTGACTTGGGAATAGGTTGACATCTCAGATGGGAACAGGTGGAACGGTGCCACCTGGAAGTACCTACCTCCTCAAAGGCAAAGCGGCCCCAGGAAATAGTTTACCGAGGGCTGCCCTCAGCCTAAGGGAAACTAAATGAAGCCAGAGTTCTTCCATCCGATCGATGATTTTAGCCACCTAAGGTAGGCACATCTTTAGCGGGCACCACCACTGTGCCAGGCAGTGCACTGGGCCCTGGACCCAGCACGGGCAGGTCTGGCCTAACGCTCAGAAGTGCCTGAGGCCTAACATTCTTGCCCCCAGTGTGGCTGTGGCAGGGCCCAGGCAGGCTGGCATCACAGCCTCTGACTGAGATTGATTCTCTGAGGTCCTACTGTGTGTCAGATTCTAGCATGAACTATCTCACTTAATCAGCAAGTGATCCTGTAAGATTCCATTGGCATTCCTGACTCACAGAGGGGAGACCTGAGATTCAGAGAGATTCCAGGACGTGCCCAGAGCAATGGAGGGTGGATCCCAAGCTGTGCAGCCTTCCCTGTACCATGATGTATCCAGCTCTACTAGGTCAGGGTCATTGACCTTGAAGGCCATTCAGCAAGGATGTGCTCTTAATGCAGCACGCCAAGAAGCCTTCCTGAAATCATTTGACTTTCTGGGCAGACTTTGTGATAGGTGCTCTGATGAGCTGACCAGGTGCCCTGTTGATATGGCTGGCCTGGCTGTCACCTTTCTTCATGGATGGCCATGGATGCTTCACCTCCCCAATGGACACTCATGAGACGGCCAGTGTGAGAGGTCTCCGGGACTAGTGACCTGCCAGGAATTCACATGCTTGAGGTCTCGGAGTCTGGGCCCCTTTGCACCCATTTCTGCTGTCCCTGACCCTGCTGATGTCCTTGCAGCCTGATGCAAAACACCAAGCCCTGGGACCTCACTCACTCTGTCCCCCTCTGTCTTTCCCAGAGCATCGAGGTCACAGTCCCTGCCTTTGCTGATGGCGAGCTCATCCCCAGGGAGCCCGGCTTCTTTCCTGAGGAGGAGGAGGAGGCCATGACGCTGGCCCTGCCCGAGGGCCCCCAGGAATCAGACACGGACAGCCCCATGGAGAGCACCCAGAGCCTGGAAGGGTCTGTCGGGAGTGCCATAGAGGAGAAAGACGGGGGTCTCGGGGGCCTGTTTCTGCCAGAGGACAAGTGAGTTTAAATGGTCTGAAGTTCTGTATGTGCTGTCTGGGCCAGAAACGCGGTTCTTGGAAATGTGGTCTAGGAAGTAAACATGAGACACGGGCAATATTGTACCACAGGCAATAGTGTCATGGGCATTCTGCACAACATGAAGTTCCAGGCAGCCTAAATGCTTAACAGTGATGGTTCTAGAACTTTAGGCAGCTGTGCAACGTTCAGTTTTAAATGACTACTTAATGATAGGAGCTGTATGATCTCAATTAGTTTTAAAAAGCGGGTAACAAAGATGGCAATGAGGTATGATTTTAGCTTTGTTAAAAATACATACCAAGCCGGGCTCGGTGGCTCAGCCTGTAATCCCGCGCTTTGGGAGGCTGAGGTGAGTGAATTGCCTGAGCCTGCGGGTTTGAGATCTGCGTGGGCAACTTGGCGAGACTTTATCTCTACAATAAGACAAAAATTAGCTGGGCATGGTAGCGTGCGCCTGTAGTTCCAGCTACTCAGAAGGCTGAGGTGGAAGGATCTCCGGAGCCTAGCAGGTCGAGGCTGCGGTGGCCACTGCACTCAGTCTGGGTGACAGAGTGAGACTCCAACTCAAAAAAAAAAAAAAAAAATACATACCAAAGGCCGGACACAGAGGCTCACACCTATAATCCCAGCACTTTGGGAGACTGAGGTGAGAGGATTGCCTGAGCTTGTGGGTTCAAGACCAGTCTGGGCAACTTGGCAAGACCTCATTTCTACAAAAATAAAAAATAAAAAAAACTTAGCTAGGCATGGCGGTGCATGCTTGTAGTCCCTGCTACACAGGAGGCTGAGGCAGAAGGATTGCCTGAGTCCAGGAGGTCAAGACTGTGGTGAGCCATGATCATGCCCAACCTGTGTGAATCTCTGACTCCAAAAAAAAAAGACCTGAGTGACTTCCTGCTGAAGCGGTATCATCTTCTTTTAGTTTGGTGCTGGCAGAAGTCAGTATTCTTCCTTAAATGAGCCCCCAAGGAATCCTAGTTTCTACGTAAGGATCACAGTGTCAATGACAGGGAGTTAAAGATGAGTCTCCCGGCACCTTGACCATACTTTTAATGGGAAGGAGCCCCTTCCATCCCAGCCCTCACTAAATCTCTGGGGCGTACCATGCCGTAGGCAGTAGGGCACCACCCCCTTCATGTTCACGGCTAAGAAGCCGAAGCAGGGGGCAGTGGTAGCCCCACCTCCCCCCCACATGCCCCCCTCCCTCGCCCCCAGCCCAAGAAAGGGATAGTTGCAGCTGCCCTGGAGACTTGGAGAGGGAGTGGAGGGTTCCAGTGTCGGGTGAGCCACATGCAACTGACAATTTTTAATCATTTTCAGCCTTCAAAAAAAGGTAACTTCATGTGGTTCAACCTATTCTTGGTGCAGGGCTTCTTAAACCCAGGTGGTTCTGAGTCAGATGTTCCGGTGGGCCTTTTGGTCTTGTCAATGGAGAGAGATCCATGCTGATTTCCAGGTGCAGCCCTTCTGCTGTTCCTGTGGCTAACCTGAGGACACAGGGCCATAGACAGCAGACCTCTTGATGTTGTGGCTTATGGCCCGTCCCTTGAGCACTGCCATGGCTTTCTGGGACTCATCATGATGGCACAAGCCAGCAGTGGGTGCCCAGAGCTCTAAGGAAATGTTCAGGGAAGAACTGAGGAGCGTGAGAACTTCAACCTCTGAAGTGCCAAGGACCCTGAGGGCAGATAGATAAGTGAATTAATGCAGCACTGGGAGACTTCCTCTTTAGTACTCTTTCATTGACACTGTGATCCTTAGGTAGTGGCAGAGTTTGAGAATCCTGCCTTAGTCCGTTACATGCTTTTACTGTTTCAGGCTTCCTATTTTTTTTTTTCTTGAGTTGGAGTCTCACTCTGTCACCCAGACTGGAGTGCAGTGGCCGCTCCCGGCCACCGCAGCCTCGACCTGCTGGGCTCCGGCGATCCTTCCGCCTCAGCCTTCCAGGTAGCTGGAGCTATAGGCGCGCGCTACCACGCCCGGCTAATTTTTGATTTATTGTAGAGATGAGGTCTCGCCTGCCCAGGCGGGTCTCGAACCCGCGGGCTCAGGCAATCCACTCACCTCAGCCTCCCAAAGGCGCGGGATGACAGGCTGAGCCACCGAGCCCGGCTCTTCACGTTCTTCATTCCTACTTTTTTTATTCTGTATAGACCTGGGATATACAGTCGACCTTCTTTATCCAAGGGCTCCACATCTCTGTATCTAACCAACTGTGGATCAAAATATTCATAAACAGCCATACGCAGTGGCTCACGCCTATAATCCCAGCACTTTGGAAGGCTGAGACGAAAGGATTGCCTGAGTCCAGGGGTTGAAGACCAGCCTGGGCAACTTGGCGAGACCTTTTCTCTATAACAAATCAAAAAATGAGCCAGGCGAGGTGGTACACGCCTGTAGATCCAGCTACTTGGAAGGCTGAGGTAAAAGGATCACCTGAGCCCAGCAGATCTAGGCTATAGTGGCTGTGAGTGTGCTACTGGACTCCAGCCTGGGTGACAGAGTGAGACTCTGACTCAGAAAAAATCAAAAACAATAAAAAATAATTATAAAGATTAAAAATGCAAATAAAAAATACAGTATAACTACTATTTACATAGCACTCCCATACATAGTATTATAAGTCATCTTGAGGTGATTTAAAGTATACAGGAGGATGTGTGTAGGTTATATGCAAATACTATGCCCTTTTAAATCAAAGACTTGAGCATCCTTGAGTCACTCTTGAGTACCAATGGAACACTGTATTCAGTCTTATTGTATCTAAGGTTGTAAATCTAACTTTTAATTTATATTTATTTTTCCACGTTATTGCCAATATTTTAAAAACCTTTCAATGACTACTTGATATTCCATAAGTTAATAATTAGATCTACGAATACAGAGTATAATTTAATAACCATAGTTTGGTCTAGCTGTGGCTAAACAATTAGGTTGTAACCAGTGTTCTGCTCTGGGGTTACCTTGGTCTGACTCTTGGGCAGAGTCAGTTTCTTAGACAGGGTCTCCAAGGTGTACTTGGCCAGGTCAGAGGGTACAAGCCTGGTCTGTAGTGCCCAGGGATCTTAGGTTTCCCTGCCCCAGGCTGCAGTTGGGGTCTTGGGAGCCCTCCTGACACGGTACTCTCCGGCCCCCAGGTCTCTGGGCCACACCCAGTCCATGACGACCTCAGACCTCTCCACACACTCCACCGCCTCACTCATCAGCAATGAGGAGCAGTTTGAAGACTACGGGGAGGGAGACGACGTGGACTGTGCCCCCAGCAGCCCCTGCCCGGATGACGAGACCAGGACCAACGTCTACTCGGACCTGGGGTCTTCGGTGTCTTCCAGGTGGCCCCTTCGTCTTGGATGGCGTTTGGGATCCAGGAGAAGTGGCAGATCCTATCCAACTGCATCCTGGGAGCCAAGTGGGCCCAGTCCTGAGCCACATGGGTTCTGGTCCTAGGGCTCTGGTGCTGCCTTTGTACCCTGGTCAGGGGTCATAAGTTCCTCCTCCCACTTCCATCTTGAGAAGGAAACAGTTGGCTAATCTGACATACTCTGACATTAGCTCAGTGTGGAGGAATCCTTCAAGCGACCTTCTGTGATACCTTCCCTGGTCATTACTTCCTCTGACACTAGCTCTCAGTCTGCCTTATCTGTCAAATGGGTACGACTCACTGGGTTCCTCTCTAAGTGTTGGGGAAGGAATGATCTATTGCTGTATTTCCCCTCCCTGCCCCTTCTCCCAGAAGGCCCATAGGTACCTGATGATCAGTAGAGTTAGCCCAGTGGGTGGGGCAGGCCCTAGACCCCACGGCAGTTAAGGGGTGATTTCTCTCCCTCTTCTGAACCAGCGCGGGGCAGACACCTAGGAAGGTGCGGCATGCGTACAACAGTGAACTGCTGGATGTGTACTGTTCTCAGTGCTGCAAGAAAATCAACCTGCTGAACGATTTGGAAGCCCGGCTGAAAAACCTGAAGGCCAACAGGCAAGGCCTCAGGGCCAGCAGAGGTTGGGAGGCCGGATGGGCTCTGGAGGGAAAAGCAGCAGGCTAGGCCGGCTAGTGGCCCCTGCTGTCTTGGCAGGTGAGCCCCCCCCCAGCGCACGGTCCACCCCGGGGTTTCTTCTGCAACAGAAAGGGTCAGACTGTTTCTCCCAGGGCCGAGCTGATTAGTGAATTCCTTCAGGAGGAGGGAAGACTTTGTGTCTTGCAGCTGGGCAGAGGAAGGGGGTGGACGAGAGCGGCCCCCTCCCCGGCCAATGACTGTTTCCTCTCTCTTTCTAGCCCCAACCGGAAGATCTCCAGCACGGCCTTTGGACGGTAAGGCCCCCTCAGGGGAAGGGCTCAGGTGCTGTCTCTCTTCACTGTGCTCCTGCTGCCTGGTGACCGGGGCTCCACACCAGCGCCCAGACCCAGAGGTGCCCTGAGTGTGGCTGCAAGAGCAGATGGGCTCAAGACCATCCTGGGGCAGTACGGCCACTTCTTCAAGCTCTTAGCCACCTCGACCCCTGGCTGGCACACTAGGGATGTCTTGAGATACAGCCCTCCCGTGGCTGTTGGTGCCCGTTCCTCCATCTGGAGCCTGTAGCCATGCCAAAGAGACCCTGTTCTTCCCACTGGCTGAGACCCGGGCATGAGTGTGTCCCTGGGAGCAGGTAACTCTGCTCCTGGTTCAGCCTTGCAGCAGCTGACTTCCTGGACTGCTGGGATCCTGCTGGTTCTGCTGCAGGCTGACCCCAAGTCCACTCCCAGGGCTTCAGGAGCTGCCAGTGAGTGCCCAGGCTTGGCCCAGATGCTGGGTGTAATGGGCTCTTGGCATGCCTCAGGCAAGGACTGGCCCTCTAGGCTTCTGCCTGGGTCCCCAGCTCAGTGCCCTCACAGTCCAGCTGACCTCCCCCTGCCTCCCTGGAGTTCCCTGACACGGAGCAGAGTTGGCTGGTGAGGGGATCTAGTTCAGGAGGCCTACCCTCTGCCAGTACGGCAGAGCTGCGCTGCCTCCCTGGGGGCTTCCCACTTGAAAGGGAGGGCTCACCTGCCAGGTAGCAGCTGGCGAGAGCGCACCTGGTGTGAAGAGGATTCTGCGGTGGCGGGAAAGAGCTGTGATCAACTGGCCACAACCGCCAGGGCTCAGGGAGGGCTGTCTGGCCCATCTGCCGTCCTCTGAGCTGGGTGATCTGTTGAGTTTGGGGTTCAGGCGACACTCTCCACCTCTGGCTGAGTGAGGGCGGCCCCCTTACTGGGGGGTTTCTGGCAGGCCCCGGGGTCCTGGGTGCCCTCCTGGCCCGTAGCTGCGTGGCCCTGTCCCCGAAAGGCCCTGCAGCAGGCGCCCTCCTTCCCTCCCTTCCTGCAGGCAGCTCATGCACAGCAGCAACTTCAGCAGCAGCAACGGCAGCACCGAAGACCTGTTCCGGGACAGCATTGACTCCTGTGACAACGACATCACAGAGAAGGTGGGCCCTGGGGGCTGGAGAAGGGACTGGGTGTGCGCCTGTTCCCAGGGGAGGTGGGGAGCACACAGGCTGCTGTCCAGTGACTTGGGAGACCCTGTTCCTGCCCAGAAGTAGAGGATGGCAGCCCTGGTCTCATGCTTCTCCCCTAAACGTGACTCTGTCATCCTCTGTGGCCGTTTGGAGGTCCTGGTCATGAACGTCACAGCTTCAAAGTTCTCAGTCCTGTGGCCTCAAAGGTCCCCTCCTCACCCTTGCCCCCGCTGCAGGTAAGCTTCCTGGAGAAAAAGGTGACAGAGCTGGAGAATGACAGCCTCACCAACGGGGACCTGAAGAGCAAGCTGAAGCAGGAGAACACGCAGCTTGTGCTCAGGTCAGGCGGTCGGGACTTGGGCACATGGGCTGGCCCTCTTGCCGAGGCCCTGAGAGAAGCTGGAGGGGTAGCCTCCAGCTCCAAGGACCTGTGACACGTCAGCCCCATGTCACATGGCTCTGCCCATGCTGGGTACCCGGCAGGACAGGCCTTTAGGGACAGCGAGACCAGTTGGAGGTTGACCTTAACTCTAGGCCTGATGGAGTCCACCCCCAGGTCTGCAGCTCAGGGTGGATCCAGGACAGGAGTTGGGATCCACTGTCTCTTGCTGGCATACACAGGAGAGCCTGACCTCCCTCCCTAGAGACAAGCTGTGCAGGGGTCAAGCCAGTGTGGGTCAGGCGGTTGGAAGGGTCCGGGCATTGCTGTCGAGGGAGGCCCATGGAGATAACACTCCCTGAGGCCACCGGAACAGTAGTAGGTGTGGGAGCCCAGTTGTCCTCACGGGGGCAGGGGGCGTGACACTTGGCACCCTTATCCGGGCAGGGTCTAGTTTTCTGCCTCTTAACAGTGCCCAAAGATGGGCCCTTCTGTAAACCCCAGAAGGCCAGCCTCGTGGAGGGGCTGTTGCCAGTGAAACGGACCCCACACCCATGTCCCAACTAGCCAGTCATGGATTCTCACATGCACAGGGAACTGGGCCCTTTTCTGGGTCTGGGCAGGCTTGGTCTCATTAGCCAGGATGTGGCTGTGTTTGGAGTCAAGGTGCTTTCTAAGATGAATTATTGAGCAGAGGCTGCTATCCAGGAAGGAATAGAACAAAAAGAGGAGGTGAGACCCTGGGCTGTTTTGTCCAGCTGTAGACACAGGCACAGGCCGTGACTGTCCCTCCCTGTGCTGCCCTGAGCGTCCTACCTGCTTGGGTATGGCTCTGCTCCCCTCTGGACTGATAGCCCAGTCTGCTCCTCCATGGCACCTCTCTTCAGATGTGGAGGTGTTCCTGACCAACTGTCAGCAAGCTGCTGGCCCACGGGACTGGCACATGCACTGCCACCTCCCCTGGTGAACATGTCCGTGACTCATCTCAGGGCCCAGGCTCCCCGTGCCACAGCCTGGGTTGGGTGAGGAAGCCCCGGCCCAAGAGCTTGCCCTTGCCCATCCACAGGGTGCACGAGCTGGAGGAGATGGTGAAGGACCAGGAGACTACAGCCGAGCAGGCGCTGGAGGAGGAGGCGCGGCGGCACCGTGAGGCCTACAGCAAGCTGGAGAGGGAGAAGGCCACTGAGGCGGAGCTGCTTAGCGCCAGGTGGGCCCTGCCATCCCAGACGGCCTTTCCATCCAGCCACATCCTTGGGACCACACTTGGGCTGGCACTGTCTGGATTTTCTAGACAGGAGACTGAGGCTGAGGGAACGCCTCATGTTCTAACAGTTCTGCTTGAAGAAGTGGATAAAAGTTGTTCACAGGTACACTTCATATTGGGTAGAGAAAACAACACAAACGCCTGTCAACACGATACTAGGTGAAAAAGGACCAGGCTTGCCTTGGTTCCTGGTTGGCTATGATGTCCTGGCTTGGAGCACCCCCTGCTGTCGGGTTCTCCTCGGTCCCGGTGGGCTGAGCCTAGGCCCCAGGACCAGGGTAGACAGAAAACCAGGGAGTTTTCTGTGGACTCTTGTGCCTTGGGTCTGCCAGTGGCTTTGTCACTGAAATCTGAGGCAGAGCCGGGCTTGGTGGCTCAGCCTGTAATCCCACGCCTTTGGGAGGCTGAGGTGAGTGGATTGCCTGAGCTCGCGGGTTCGAAACCCGCCTGGGCAGCGAGACCTCATCGCTACAATAAATCAAAAAATCAACTGGGTGTGGTAGCGCATGCCTGTAATTCTGGCTCCTTGAAGGCTGAGGCGGAAGGATCACCAGAGCCCAGCAGGTTGAGGCTGCAGTGGCCAGGAGC